TGAGACCCATCCTGCCCCTGCATTTATCAGAAGTCTGCTGCGTGCATGTACCAGTCTGTCCGCTCCCATGATGGGGGGCTTTGGGCTAGTTTGGGTCTGAGCACCAAGAATAAAGCCTCTGTGAACATTCTAACACATTCTCACACAACTCCACCTCCATCTTGGAGTGGAATTTGAGACCCAGGGTCGATGTATGTATATACAGCTTTTTGAGAAACTGCCAAACATGTTTCCAAACTGAACCATCTGGTGTTCCACTGGCAGAACCTGCACACTCCAGGGGAATAGAGCCCCTGCCAACACCCAGTCAGTCCCTTCAAGTCTCTGGCAGTCTCGTCAGTGTGCAGAAGGGCCCCACTGTTAGTCTACTTTGAGCCTCCCCAGGGATGAATGCTGTTGAGCGAGTTTCCTTTCAAATTGCCATCATGCATCTTCTTTCACAAAGTGCCTGTTCATGAGTCTTGCCCATTTTTGGTTGTTTGTCTTTTTATTACCAACTATAGTGGTTCTGGTGTTATGTAGACACAAGCCTCTGCCTGACATAGTGAACAGGTTGTATTACCAGTGTTCCTACTGTCCTGGGGCTTGCTAACTTTCCTAATGCTGTCTCTGGGTGACGCAGTCATTTGGGCATCTGACTTTGGCTCAGGTCATGATCTCACAGTTTGTGGGTTCAAGCCCTGCGTCGGGCTCTGTGCTGACAGCTCGGAGTCTGAAGCCTGCTTTAGATTCCGTGTCTCCCTCCCTCCCTCCCTTCCTCTCTCTCTCTCTCTCTCTCTCTCTCTCTCTCTCTGTCTCTCTCATGCTCATGCTCGTGTGTGTCTCTCTCTCAAAAATAAACATTTAAAAAATTTAAAAAAAAACAACCACAGCAAACAGCATGGATTCATTCCATATCTATGAAAGAAAAACATTATTTTATTTATTTCACAGTGGAAGAAAAACCAGTATGGTTTCACTTAGGAAGCCTTTTGTTTTCATATTTTCTCATCTACTTGTAATGCATCTGAGCCACCCCGGGCTGATCCGCTACCACTGGAATGTGACGCGGCGTGCCAGGGCACTTCCGGCGCAGGTCTGAAAGCAAAGTTTCAGGGTTTTGGAGGAAAGTTTACTGTTTTCTCGATGCCTGGTAAATACTTGAGCCATGGACACACGGTGCTTTCTGGGGGACAGGCGGCTGCTGGGCATTCTGTGAAGAGGGTCACATATGGAAAGGCTGCTGTGGGGGACGGGAACAGGATGCAGGACCAGAAGGTGCCTTGAGGTCTGGGTCAAAGGAGGCGTTTTCAGGAGGGCACCGAGAGGCCCACTCGAGAACACGTGGCAACAAGGGCTGAACAGCAGAGGCCACGGACAAGCACGGTGTCAGATAAGGGCGGCATTACTGCCCAGGAGGGCCGAGGCTTAAACATGGAGACTGTCTTGGCGGAATCTTGCACTGCAGAAGGAAAAGACAATTTGCATCCTCCCCTCCTCATCCAGCTGCGTCACTGTAATCTTCATACCCACGATTCAACTCGGAGCTTCTGCCTGTAAGCAGGTGCCACTGCTATTCAAATGACAGGTGACAACGGCCCTTAACGTCTGCAGGTAGAGAGCCGCGTGTTGACATCAAGGGTGTCAGCGGCGGACGTGCCAGAGCCACGAAACCGGCAGGCTCCCGGATTCCACGTGGGTCAGCATGGACTCCACCCACCACACCCGACCAGAAAGTGAACAGAAGAGCTGTTTCCTCCTGTGACGATGTCAACGTCAGTGCCAACAGTGGAATGAAATGTCTTCCTGCAGAACCCCATAGCCTGCACTGATGCTGATCTGGACAGAAGGGTCCCGCATGCTGTGCACCTCGGTCCATGGGCACCGGGCTCCCTGCCCTGACTCCCGGGCACATGCCCTGTGGAGGGCCCACCCTCACGTCCGCCCATGCCAGGGCACGCCGCCATCCCACCACCCTGCCCTGCCTGTGAGGGCCACCTTCCCTCTGTGGCCTCGATTTTCTCACCGTCAACCTCACAGTTGCACAGCCACCTTGGTTCCTACTCAAACTCATTACTTCTCTCTAGTGTTGCTTGCTTTACTTCCATTCCATTCTTGTTCCTCTGGGACCTTGGTCCTCCTATCCTATGCCTAAGCTCCATCAATTAATCCTCTGTTGAAACCCTCAGGTGAAGTGTGCATGTGACGCCAACAGGCTCCCAGCGAGCAGGAGAGGTTCTCCTGGCCCGAGGGCCACACCCAGGGCCCAGTGGCAGAGCAGTCAGTCACTCACCCAGGGAGTGTGAGTTTCACTCACCCAACAAACCCGGACCCCAGATGCCCTGGGTCAGCGGCCCCAGGTGCTCAGAAGTCCCCGTGAAGCTACTAACAGCAGCCAAAATTACGCTGGGCTGGGAACATAGGGAAGAAACAAGTTGACAGGTCATTTTGAATTAGGGCCTGAAACAAAGTCAGCACTAACCAAACTGTTGTCAGAAAGAAGACAGGAAGAAGGCAGGGAGGAAGGGGGCGGGAGGTAGGGTTGGCGTGTGTGTTCAATCCTTCCTTTGAAACACATATTTGGCTGGATCATATGAAGTTGCCCTTCTCACAGATCAAAACCAGCTGCGTGCTGGTAATTTTACACAGCTTAACCTAATAAGGTCAACACCAGGGAGCTGCTAGGTACCTGGAAAAGACATCCTTCCAAACGCTGAGTCGTCCATTCCCCGCTTGGAGCCCTTCTTCCAGGCTGATGGGTCTCCAGGTCCAATCCCAGATTTTGCAAATGATTGGCTATCAGATGGAGAAGCTGATAAAACACAAGTAACAGCACCTTTACTGCAAAGCACCCGGCGCCTTCCCCCAAGGTCTGAAACACGAAGTCAGTGCTGCTTCAGCTAATGAAAAGCAAAGTCCCCATCTGAAAAGAACACCTCAGAGAATGTCAAAAATGAGCAGAATCTGTTTATTCCAGAATTTGTTTAGACCACCCCTCCGCACCCAGCTTGGGCAGCCCGCGATCACATTCCTGCTTTCTTGTCTACAAAAACATGGGTGTGCCAAGAGCGTGTAAACCCCATGACACACACCACATAATAGGAATCACTGTGTCATCCAAATCCCACAAGGGAATCTTCACAGCGGCCTACTTACTGAAACCAGAGCAGGCGGGACGCTTTCCCATTGGAGGTCAGGACGCCGCCCCCCCTCCAGAGGCCAGCGCCCCTCCCCTGCCCCCCGAGCTGGCCCACCAGCTCCCGCCCACCGCCACTCTGCCTCCGCTCACTCCTGCACCCCCCACAGACGGCACACCCAACGGGCCACCCCAGCAGCCGTGCTGAGGGTCTCAGTCCTTCCTTCCTGTAAAATGGTGGGTGCCACCTCGAACAGCCCGGCGGCATCGGGGGAGATGGACAGGTTAAGCTACCTTCACAAACTATAAAATGCTTCCGGACCCCACCTCCGCCTCCGCCCTGGCCCTTTCTCCCAGCCAGGTGTCCTCAGAAGCATCATGGGGCCCCCTTTCTCCGGGCAAGGACGCCCTCCATCACCTGCATCCACCTGTGGGCTCAGGTGTAAAACCGTCAGAACCTCTGTCCTGGCGACACCTCAGAGAGTCGGCGACACTGTTCTCCCACACGCCCTGGGGTTGGCCAGTTCCCGTTGGCCTAATTCAGTCTATGAACTTCGTGTGTGAACAGAATGCCTTCAAATGGGTTTTCCAAGATGAAATTCCATGACTACCTCCTTCTGATGTAGCTTTTGTCCAATGTTAAGAAAACGAATCTAGTGACAATTCCTACCAAACTCAGCGTTCTCGTAAAAATTGGGTAATGAAGTGAAATCAAGTTAAAAGTGAGTTATTTATTTTTAAAATTTTTTTTAATGTTTATTTTTGAAGGCGAGAGACAGAGCGCGAGTGGGGGAGGGGTAGAGAGAGAGGGAGACTCAGAATCCGAAGCGGGCTCCAGGCTCCAAACTATCAGCACAGAGCCCAACGTGGGGCTTGAATCCACGAACGTGAGGTCACGACCTGAGCCGAAGTGGGACGCTCACCTGACTGAGCCCCCCAGGCGCCCCTCAGTGAGAAGCTCTACATACTATGTTATTTTAGCAGTGCTCTCCGATGGAGGAGGAAGGACCAAACAATCTCACGTTAGTGCACCTGCTTGCTGCTTGAGAAGACACAACTGCTGTTAATGCCGATAAAGAACACAACACAACACATCCCTTCAGCAAGTCAGCTCCCATGGCACCAACACCCGCCGCCCATCGCGGGCCGGGCCGGGGCGGAGGCGGCCCCAGGTCTCTGTTGTCCACTCTCCCTCTCGTCCCTGCCTCTGGCGGCCACCGGGCCAGCCACTCGGGACGGCTCTCACCTCAGCAATGGCTTTTACAAGCTGATTCTGTCCTGCATTTTCCCTAGTAAAGCTTGGTAATGTTTGGGTTTTTTTTAACATATTAGTTTTTCTCTAAAATATTGTTTGGCTCTTATTACCGACATCCAATAATTTTAAGTTTCTTTTTCTCCAAGTCATAGAAAACTGGAATCAGGACTTAATTTGGAGAAAATTCATATAAAAATGCAAACAATATGTAAGACAAATAATGGTTGCTACGAAAGTTATACAAAGCAGTGGGGTGTTAACGACAAGCAGACGCTCCTGTGCCCGCTGGAGGGACGGTGCTGTGGTTTCCTCAGTGTGGAGCTTCCTCAAACATCGACAACAGCACTGCCGTGTTACCCAGCAAGCGCACCTCTGGGAATTCATCCGACGGAACTGAAGGCAAGGTCTTGAGCAGGTCCTCGTATGCCAACGGGGCCCTGGCTCAACTGGGAGGAAGGGCCAAGAAGCCAGGCTGTGTGCAGAGGCCCCGTTCCCCAGGCAGCAGCAGGGCAGGCCGTCAGGAGGCCGTGAGCCCACCGTGCCAGCGTGGACCCCCCGCCCCCACCCCACAAAGTCCGGGAGGACACAAACACTGGGTTACTTTTTATCGAAGGACGTTCTGTTGTAACTTCACCACGTTCTGCGCACGAGTGCTGGAGGCCAACTCCGTCTCCGGGAAGGGGGACCGTCCCGCGGGGCGGGAGACCTTGCCAGCATGAGGGACGCGGGGCGGCAGCGGCTCGGGATCCAGCAGCCTTGGCCACGTCCCCCTCGCGCCCGCGGCGCACCGGCCCACGGTGAGTTATTCAGCCACAAACAGCTGCAGTTTGCCGTCCAGGGTGGTGGTGGCAAGCTGCAATTGAAGACGAAATGTGGTTCAGTCACTTTCATTAGCTGAGGGTCCTGTAAGGTAGGAAGCAAGGGCACTTTCTGCAGGCGTTTGCCTCATTTTCCATTTTCTAGACCACAGAACCGAGTGCGTCAAAAACAGTAAAATCTCCACGTGCAGCTGGTGCTGTATTCTACTCGACGGGTGCGAACCGCACGTCACTGCTGCTCTGATGCTCGAGAGGAGCGTCAGGAGAGGACAGGGCGGCCTCCAGACGTGCCCGCCAGCTCTTGGCCACTCCTGCGGGCCGGGCGGCGAGCCACAGCCCAGGGCGGGGGCGGAGGGCGGCTGGCTCGGTGGCGGGGGGGAGGGGCAGATGCCCTCCTTCTGCCCCGTTAATGCAGTGAGGTGGGGTCCGCGTCCTGGGGAGCAAATCCAGGCGGTGCCCTCCCGCCAGGTCTCCAGCTGTTGGGACACGGCTCCGCAGACGCCTGTTGGCTCACAACCCCGGAGGCCGGAAGGCGTGCGACCCGGTGTGAGCGGGAGCCCCTCGGCCGGCTGTGGGCGGCCACCCTCCCCCGTCCTCACGCGGCCTTTCCTCCTTGCAGGTGCTGGTTCCTCTCCCTCTGTGTCAGGCCGCCGGTCCTATCGGACGAGGAACCCGCCCCTAGGCCGCCCCCAGCTTTGCCTCCTGAGAGCCCTCCCTGCAACTGGAGCCACACTGGGGGTCAGGGCCCGACCGTGTGCCCGGGCGAGGGGGGCGGCCCTGCCGTCCACGGCACAGACACAAGCCGCGCCTTCCCACTCTGCTCTCAGCGATACAGACGCTCCGCCCCCCGTGGCCACTCTCCGTCCACCTCCGCCTGCCTCTGGGCTCGAGTGGGGAAATGGGTGCCGGGCACCGACCCCGCGAGTGGCCTGAGACCAGGTGGTGAGCACACGGCAGCTCCCACGTGGGGCTCGGGCCCCCCCGGCCACGGACCTCATCTTCCCTGGGGTTCTGGCGAAGTCTGAACTTGGCTCACTACAGAGTCTGGTCTAAGGCACGGAGCTGGGTCTGTTGCCCCAAGTCCCGCTCTTCATTCTGGGCCGTGAGGGGCTACGTGGGGTGCACGTGGCTGTCCACAGCCAACGGTCACCCCTGCAAGCTCCCGGTGGCTCTTAGCGTCCTGGGTCCACCAGCACTGGCTCGGCTTACCTCACAGACCCCCAGTGGTCTCTTTCCCGCCAAACGGCAGTGGATTTTATCATTAGAGATACACAACGGGGTGGGGGCTGATTAACAAACAAATAAAAACAGAGACTTTCATTCTAAGGCCAAGGAAGTGGTTACAAACCCACGGTTTGAAGACTGTCCTTAGAACCGGGCTCCAGAGGCAGGACCGAGAGCAGCCGACACATAGGCTTCTTGGCTCGTGAACGGCTCCACGCAGGGTCATTTAAACAGCAGGACCCGGCCAGGTGCACCACGACCTCACCTGTCATTTCCACATGGACCCAACGCAGGTGTGCCGTGTGATATTTGTAAGCGGCCACGCGGAAATTCTGCATTTCGACGCATTGCACAAATCGCCGAGTGGCCATCCGGTGGGACTTCAACTCCAATCAACTCACGCTCTTGCCCAGAGAAGGCACGCAACCCCCACCTACGAATCTTCTCTTCCTTCAAACGACACAATCGGCACCAGAGCCCTCGCCCCGTGGTACCTCAGCGCCACCTTCCCGCTGCGTCCCGCCGGCCACCACACTAGCTGAGGTCCTGGGCTCCTCCCGGAGCCGCGTGGACTCGGCCCCGAGCCCACCTTGCAAACATCTGCCAATTCAGCCCCACCAAGTCGCTGCGCGACCCCTTCGGTGTTACGGTCCAGAATCTAAACCACATCCGCGGGGTCGGGCGCTTCGGTCTCGGGTGCGGATCTGTGCCTCTCTGGGGGCGTGGAAACATCCTCGAGCCTGTCTCTCTCCTTCCCCGTCTCTCGGGCGTGCTCCCAGAGCCTTCCACAACTGATCTTTCCTACCTTCCCACGCTGGGTTGTTTCTGCTGTTACGGTACGGGAATTCGACACAACTTGGATACTTGAACCACTGTACTTTCGGTATCTTTGCCGATATTTTGGGACAGCGCCCTCGGTCGGGCCACAGCCGGGCTGAGCCCACCGGCCGCGCCAAGAACAAGATGATGTGCAGGGGAGCAGCGTGTACTTTTGTGACCTTTGGTTTTTAAAAGCCTCTGCCTCAGAATAGGTAAAACATCCATTAATAGAGTCAAGAGGAGACTTTGCTGCTTCTGTCCCCGCAGATCTAGAAACTCCCGGGCTGGGAGGAAGAGAGGGGAACAGGTGCAAGCCCTCCAACTCCATGGGTCCTCACAGAGGTCCAGGAACCCACCTTCGCCCAGAATCCTTCCCTGCAGAAGCAGGTGCCAGGCACCCAGACGGCCACGGGGGCCCCGCCCGGAGCACAAGCCACGAGGCAGCAGACCCCGTGCGGCGCAGGGGGCAGATGGGCCGTGGAGCTCCCGCCGCCCCGGGCCCTGGCCCTGGGCCCGAGACACTGCACAGCAGGCCCAGCCCACCGAGGTCTGCGCAGACACGGCCCGGGGGGGCCACCGACGAGGGCCTGTCTTCTGGCTCATCGGGTGTGCTCCAGAAACGCCCCAACACCCGGGAGCCTGTCTTAGCTCAGGCCAGGGGACAAACGACCACGGTCAGGAGCCCAGGAGACCCAGGTCAGCAGGCACGGCGGGTCCTAGGGGCTCCAGGTTGCAGACTTCCGGTGTGGCCCCCACCTGGGGGAAGGGGCCACGGCCCACTCTGGGGCTGTTGGGGGGGCACTGAGCCGGTTCCTGAGGGCTCCACCTCACGACAGTCTCCCCCCCAAACACGACGCACCTCAGGACAGTCCCCCCCCCAACACGACGCACCTCAGGACAGTCCCCCTTCCTAACATGACGCACCTCACGACAGTCTCCCCCTCTTAACACGACACACCTCACGACAGTCCCACCCTCCTAACAT